GGCCCTCGCCGTGTGAAGCGAGAGCGTTAACCACCATCCCATGATGTGGGTCGCATCATGGGGAAAGAGAACCGGAGGACCTCCCTTCCTAGCAGAAATATTACACTTCTTAGATTATGTTGGTTATCCTAGGACATTAACTCGTCAAGGTTACCCTGGGTTACCAACCTTCCGGGTTATCACAAGCCAGTCAACACCTCGCGCTGATCAGATGCACACAGCCGTGCTCCCGTGTCACCGATCAAGCTTGTCTGTGTATCCTGACTCAAGCTCCTTCCTGCAAATTCCTTTCACGTTGAGCTCTGCTGCTGGGTGAAGCCCTGGCTCTTTCTCTAAGACTAAGGACACTCCCCTCAAGAACTACTCTTCGTCTGTCCAGTCTTCCCCGCTCACCCCTTCATGGGGTCTTACCTAGAATCATAGCGTAGCGTAGCGGGTTATCCTGGGTTACTAACCCCCCTCGGGTCGATAAATCTAAATAAAGTTTTTTTCTTGAATCCCTACAGTGCAAGTTCTACAGGACCAGACGAAGGCAATTTCAGTCAACAAAAATGTACCTAGAAAATGTACAGAGAGCCTTCACGGCACACATAAGTACGATAAAACACCTAAATTACTGGGAATGTTTCAAGTTCCTCGACGTGTACTCCCTGGAAAGCGGAAAGGAGAGACACATTATATACAACTGGAAAATCCTAGAGGGATTAGTACCAAATATGCAAACAAAAATCACTCCCTATGAAAGCAAAAGACTCGGCCTGGTCACAGACCGGGCCGCGGGGGCGTTGACCCCCGGAACTCTCTCCAGGTAAACTCCAGGTAAGATGATGCAACATTCCCCCAATGAAAAGCAGGGGCGTCACTAGCACGATAAGAAACAACACAATAAGTGCTAGAGGCCCAAGACTGTTCAACTGCCTCCCAGCATACACAAGGGGGATTACCAATAGACACCTGGCTGTCTTCAAGAAGGCTTTGGACAGGCACCTAATGTCAGTATCTGACCAGCCGGGCTGTGGTTCGTACGTCGGATTGCGTATGGCCAACATTAACAGCCGGGTTTGATCAGGCCCTGATCCACCAAGAGGCCTGGTCACAGACCGGGCCGTGGGGGTATTGACCCCCGAAACCTTCTCCAGGTATACTCCAGGAAGAACCATTTTAGCTGTTGAGGATAGTTTCAATCATTATAGATTTACATGCCGATTACAAACAGCCTTATTTTTCAGAAACAGCTGCGATCACTGGACGGAGGATCGAGTCTCCACTAATCCTAAAGGTGAATGACCCAAACGAGTTGACAGCTTTTTGAAATACGACAACAGTTACTCTACATGACCCTCCTACACATCTTACGACACTATTAGCTAGTGATCTAATTTTTAAATGAGGAATAAAGCCTAGCTCTAGTTTCTTTACTACGTTCAAAGCCTGATATATTCTGGGATATATTTTCTCTGTATATACACTTCTCTCAGTTCATACAACTCAAGAGATATACACTTTAGAATATATAAAAAGAGTAGCTTCACTGGGGTAAGCCAGAAGACACTGGTATTTCCCATTGAACAAGACAACACCACATAACTCATAGTGAAGCTTTCTAAATTATAAAGGAACTATATACTATATGATATGTGGAAAATACTCCTGTCTGTCTCAACTATTGGATCACTACGACAAGGTCCTAGATGCACTAGAAGACAAAAAGAATGCAGATGTAATATATAAAGACTTTGCAAAAGCCTTCGACAAGTGTGACCATGGCGTAATAGCGCACAAAATGCGTGCTAAAGGAATAACAGGAAAAGTCGGTCGATGGATCTATAATTTCCTCACTAACAGAACACAGAGAGTAGTCGTCAACAGAGTAAAGTCCGAGGCAGCTACGGTGAAAAGCTCTGTTCCACAAGGCACAGTACTCGCTCCATCTTGTTCCTCATCCTCATATCCGACATAGACAAGGATGTCAGCCACAGCAACCGTGTCTTCCTTTGCAGATGACACCAGAATCTGCATGACAGTGTCTTCCATTGCAGACACGCAAGGCTCCAGGCGGACATCAACCAAATCTTTCAGTGGGCTGCAGAAAACAATATAAAGTTCAACGATGAGAAATTTCAATACTCAGATATGGTAAACACGAGGAAATTAAATCTTCATTCAGAGTACAAAACAAATTCTGGCCACAAAATAGAGCGAAACACCAACGTCAAAGACCTGGGAGTGATCATGTCGGAGGATCTCACCTTCAAGGACCATAACATTGTATCAATCGCATCTGCTAGAAAAATGACAGGATGGATAATGAGAACCTTCAAAACTAGGGAGGCCAAGCCCATGATGACACTCTTCAGGTCACTTGTTCTATCTAGGCTGGAATATTGCTGCACACTAACAGCACCTTTCAAGGCAGGTGAAATTTGCTGACCTAGAAAATGTACAGAGAACCTTCACGGCACGCATAACGGAGATAAAACACCTCAATTACTGGGAGCCTTGAGGTTCCTAAACCTGTATTCCCTGGAACGCAGACGGGAGAGATACATGTTATATACACCTGGAAAATCTAGAGGGACTAGTACCGAACTTGCACACGAAAATCACTCACTACGAAAGCAAAAGACTTGGCAGACGATGCAACATCCCCCCAATGAAAAGCAGGGGTGTCACTAGCACGTTAAGAGACCATACAATAAGTGTCAGGGGCCCGAGACTGTTCAACTGCCTCCCAGCATACATAAGGGGGATTACCAACAGACCCCTGGCAGTCTTCCAGCTGGCACTGGACAAGCACCTAAAGTCGGTTCCTGACCAGCCGGGCTGTGGCTCGTACGTTGGTTTGCGTGCAGCCAGCAGTAACAGCCTGGTTGATCAGGCTCTGATCCACCAGGAGGCTGGTCACAGACCGGGCCGTGGGGGCGTAGACCCCCGGAACTCTCTCCAGGTAAACTCCAGGTATTCTCCCAAAATACAGTGTATTTTATATGTAAATTGATGGCCTATACTGTAGGTAATAAAAAATGTCCCCCTTCGATACCTACAACTGTCATATCCACAAGTTACTCTAGACCTATATTAATGCAAATGAAATATACATTACCAGGAATTCTGGTAAACTTTAATGTAAATTTGTGGACTGTATATTAAAATTAATAAATGATTACATATACACATTTATATAACAGAAGGAGAATTTATGATCATAACACTCCCCAATTTGTCTGGAGATTACTGTGTATCATACTCAATAACTCCCCCTGTCTACATTTATGAAAAAATTACTGGCCAGAACTATAAACATAAACATAGACATCTTATCTGAGGTTCCTGGAGCTGTCCTGTCCATCTGCTTAATGCTCATGTTATGCAGACTGCACATCCAACAATTTCGGCTCCTATTTGAGAGGTTTTAAGCCCAATATAACCCCTAGAGCGACAAAAATTATGCACATTACATTAGCGTGCCTGTACCACATTCAAAAACATTGGCGTCTCCTTCCTGCTCCACAGCGCAGGCGCACAGCTTCCCTGTCGGTTCACTTCTTTATTTATTTACAAATTAATTTTTATTACCTACAATATAGGCCATCAATTTGCATATAAAATACACTGTATTTCTGGAGAATATACAGTATTTTCCACATGATATATATAGTTCCTTGATAATGTGAGAAATCAGGAAAGCGCTTGGAATTTCACTATTCTTTCACAGTGTTTTTTGCATATACATATACATGTATATATATATATATATATATATATATATATATATATATATATATATATATATATATATATTATATGTGTGTGTGTGTGTGTGTGTGTGTGTGTGTTGTGTGTGTGTGTGTCGTGCCGAATATGTAAAACTGGTCAGTTAGCAAGAACTCATTTAAAATTAATTCCTTTCTGAAATTTTCTTATATACGTTTAAAGATATATTTTTTTCATTAATGTTAATGTAAAAATTTATAATTTTGCACCAAAAGAATCTTAGAAAACTTACCTAACCTTATTATAACAAGAGCAATTTATTTTAGCCTAACCCAACTAAATATATTTTAGATTTGTTTACAATAATTTAATACTAAACGCAGTGAAATATATTTTTTTCATTAGATTCAGAATGATTTTGGCGAAATTATTGCATACACAAATTTTCGCTTGTCCCATATGGCAAGATGAGCGTTGCTATTTAAGCCAAGATCGTAAGTTCTGCCTATTCGGCACGACATATATATATATATATATATATATATATATATATATATATATTATATATTATATATATATATATATATATATATATATATTATATATATATATATATATATATATATATATATATATATATATATATATATATATATATATATATATATATATATATATGTCGGCCGAATATTTTAAATTGGTTCAATTTAGAAGAACTCATTTAAATTAAGTCACTTTCTTAATTTTCTCGCATACGTTTAAAGATACATTTTTTTATTAATGTTAATGTACATTTTTTAATTTTGCACCCAAAGAATCTTAGAAAATTCTAACATTATTATAGCAAGACAATTTATTTTAGCCTAACCCAATAAATATATTTTAAATACGTTACAATAATTTAGTACTAAACAAACACAATCAAATATATTTTTTTCGTTAGGTTCAGATGATTTTGGCGAATTATTGCATACATAAATTTTCACTTGTTCTATATGGCAAGATGAGCGTTGCATTTAAGCCAAGATCGCAAGTTCTGCCTATTGCACGAATATATATATATTATATATATATATATATATATAATATATATATATATATATAATATATATATATATATATATATATATATAATATATATATATATATATATATATATATATACGTATATTTTATATAAATATTTATATATAGGGGCGGCCATAGTATTGTTTAATTTGGTTAATGTTGAGAAGAACTGTCTATGTAGGTCCAGCAACTCATTGTTTTGTAGTTTAGTACTGTACTTGTGTTATTATAAACTCTTCGGACTTTAAAGTCACCCTGAAGAACTCACAGAAATAATCTAGATAAGTTTATATAAGAGCCATCAAGACTAGTCTAGACATATTCTAATTTACAAAGTCGTGGCAGAGTCCATTTCAGAGAGTGACCAAATCAGATGAGCTCCAGTTCACTGGCGGTCTCTGCCACCACCAGGAGGCTGATAAGGCCCTCCAGCTGGTCGCTTGCGGCGCCGCCGTCAGTAGACAGGAGGCTGAGGTCTCCCTGATGCAAATTTTTCCTAAGGTCGTGCTTGAGGCAGGCAGACAGACGAGATGCCTTCTCGCACTTGACGAAGGCCGTGAGACGTTCTAGCTTCTGTGACAGCTGTGACCCTAACTGCTGCACCGGCAGACACAGCTGAGGAAGAAACAGAGGTAAGGCTACCAGAGAAGTTCAAGGAGGCATAGGTATGCCTTTTTCATTTAACAAAATTTAATTCACAAGAGGTTTCTACTACCTTATTCAATATGATTGTTACACAGTGGGAACAAAAGCTTATTATGTTTCCATGTCATATTATTTGACACAAATATGTCACTTACATTATTGTTAAAATCTGTGTGAAATGCAGACACAGTTAACTCAAAAGGGATAGATGATAGAACGATACAAACGGGATATTGGAAGTGAATATGAAGATGAAATTGTGAGGTTAATACTGCACCTCAAATACTTCTTTTCCCCACAGACACATACCTAACAAATGCATGCACATAATTACCTCAACACACTCAACTCAGGTGTCACCAGCACCACCCACAACTATCACCAAAAGTCACATTTCTACACTCTCCGTGTAGCAGTGGCTCGTTTAGCTTATAACAGAAAGTTATCCAAGAAACAACTATGAGCGAGTCTCTTGACATCTGCTGAGCACTGAATAGATGCTTAGGAGTTAGTTAACTATTGGGGATCGTATCCTTGAGAAGGACCTAAAATAGGACTTTCTTATGTTATTCTAGATTATTAATCCTCTGCGTTTGACAATATAAATAAATGACATATAAATGAATGAAGTTGGAATCTCAAACATAGTAAGAAGCTGAGAAGATAGACGGGATAAAGAACGCCTGATATCATAACAATCAGGGAGACGAAGCTAACGTGTATGATAATACAAATTTCCCTGAACCATACCAGATAATGAGCAACGATACAGGAAACAAGTGAAGCAGAAACTTTGCTGGTCAGGATGAATAAAGTTTCAAGGAGTTATGAGGTTACAACAGAGAATCCAGACTCTATATATAGTAGGATCAATCTTAATTATGGGGCTCAAAGTCATAATAACAGTGATCTACAATCCACAAACCTGACAGCGCATGAGTACAAGAACTACAACAAGGCTAGTGCAAACATAGGGTTTTCCTGTTTATGTGGGTCATTGTGTGTAACGTGTGATGGAGGCAGCCTATCGCACATTCAAGGGCCTTGGGAGAGGCGAATCAACGAGTAACTAGGTGACTAGTATGGAAAATATATAGGAGAACAAAAAAAAAAAAAAAAAAAAGAACCGAGGAGAACGAAAAGAAATGATTACTGAAGAACGAGTAGGAGAACTGAGAATAATTTTTTTTCCATAGCCTCATTAAAAGGGAAATAACCTTAAAAGGAATTTAGTGAAAAACACCAGAAAACTCGTGAAGGACTACGAAAAAAATGTGAGGAACTGGATACCAGATTTCAGGAAGCATTCATCGAAGAAAGAGAAATATATCCAGCAACCCGAGAAGTGAGGAAGAGGACAACAGAGACCAGTGGTTACCAGCACAACCAAGTGAAGAAACAGATACAGCGGAGTGCTGCTGACGGTAATGAAGAAAAAAATATAACAGTGAAGCTTCACTCTACATAGAGCTTTATCAAGACAGTGGAATTTGTAAAGCTCAGCATAAAGTGAAAGCTTATCTGCACCTGCTTCTTTTTATAGCCTAATAAGGGAACTGAATACAATACAAGGTATTGACCAACTGGAATGAACATCATGACTGATCCAGCAGCCGCGACTCAACGCTCATCAACCAAAGTGTGTACACAAACAGACGGAAAGACGATAGTCTGAAATAAAATGTAATTTGAGGAAAACTGAGACGAATTGAGGAAGGCGAAGAGGTTTCTAACCGTCATATCTCTGCATTGATGAATGTTGGTGAGGAGGTCGTTCTTGAGTGGCTGAGGAAGGGGCAGCTTCTGAGTATTGGCAGCCAGACCTTCGAAGTCGACCTCCAACTGCCGGTCCACCTGTCACGCACACACAACAAGGAAGGAGTGAGTGAGGCATTCTTACACCTTTGTAACACCAAATCAAATCGCCACATAAACACATCACATCGACTCTCCGTATCAACACACCACACCAGCTCACCATGCTAAATCACACCATATCAAATCCCTCCACGTCAGATCACATCAAATCACACCACATCAGATCATATCAACTCACCACATCATCACAACACATCAACACACCATATCAACTCACCACATCAACTCTCCACATCAACTCACCACGCCAAGTGTGCCGAGGATGCAAGTCACCTCGCTAACCAGGGTATCAGCCTTCTCCACCGCTTGCTGCACCTCGCTCCTGCCCACCCCTACCGCCCGTCTCTGAAGTCAAATAAGGTCACTTGGGTCAAACAAGTTGGTAACTCGTTTCAAACAGAAAAAAAAGAGTCAAAAAGATGGTCAAACAGGGGCGAAACAGGATAAAATAGGCGTCAAAAAGAGGCCAACAGCGTCTAACCGGGGTTATAAACAGGGAGTACACGAGATAACTTGATCTAATGTTCGTGTGTGTGTGTGTACTCACCTGACGGAGAGCTGGGAAGCGAGTGTCGTGGTGTCGTCCCCTGCTGCTGCTACTGCTGCTACTGCTGCTGCCACGGTAGGGGATCGTCTCCGCCACCTCGCTCTGGGAAAATACCCCAGGCTGCTGGGAAAATACCCCTCGTTGATGGGAAGAAACGTCACGTTGCTGGGAAAAATCTCCTGTATGTTGGGTGAACAACCCTGGTTGACGGAAGGTAAATCTGGGTTGCTGAGGGGAAGAAACTGCAGGCTGCCGAACAAACACTCCTGTTTGAGGGGAAAAATCTGCAGGCTGATGGGAAAATATTCCAGGTTCCTGGGAAAACAATCCAGAATGCTGGGAAAAAACTCCAGGCTGCTGGGAAAGTATCCCAGTTTTCGGGAAATGCACTTCTGGTTGTCGAGAGCTTATTCCAAAATGTTGGGAATCCACCCCAAGATGATGAGATTGCTGTCCAGATTGCTGGGAATCTACCCGAGGGCGCTGGGAATGAAATACAGGAATTTGGGAATTTACCCCAGGATGCTGGAAAAGAGCTTCCGGTTGTTGTCTGAATATTCCTCCTGGTTGTCCATTCTGTAGGGAGGCAAAAAAAGAAACAGAAAATAATTGACATGTGTTGGTTTCTGCCGCCGCCCATCTATCCTCATGACAACAAAGTTCCTTTCTTAACGTATTTCAGTGCGGCTGTTTCCAGCCCTTATTCTCCTTACATAAACATATATCATGTTAGGTCAGTCTACGATAAGTTACTCGAGACCAGGTTAATGAGGCGAGGAGCCTCAATTACAGCCTTTTTTTTTTATCTTAAAGTCTTAGAGTTTAGCATTTTAAAAACCAGTCTGTTTATTAGACACCTTGCATTTAGATGTCTATTCTTTGGAGTTTTTTTTTTTTTAGAGTGACTGAAGGTAGATAATCCGTCATGAAGAACTGTGTGAGAGCTGCTCACATTGTACATTGTAACACGCATACTGGAGAAAGAAACTTGTAATGGCATTTCGGTCCAAGTCAGACTGAAACGTCTTCAATTTCTCTCTCCAATGTGCGGGTTATTTGTATATTGTTCCAGTCACGGTATTGTGACTCATTTTTTCTTCATATTGTCTGTGTGGACAGTATGTACACTACCTCAGACTGAATCCCATTCCTCAGCCTCTGTACCATCCACCTGTATATAATATTAACCTAATGCGTTTCAATCAACATTTTAGTGTTCAGAATTTCAATAACGAACGTCCTTAAAAGACGTTATCAATTTCCAAGTAAACAAATTTGGCTTAGTTGGAAAATCAGTTTTTTTTATTTATATATACATATTTTTTTTTTTTTTTTGCATTTCGTCTATCATTTATTATAGCCATTAAAAATCTCTCGTACATAACTGATACATAACATAACTGTGATGGTAGACATGTTGATGTGGTGAACACTGTTGAAGTGTGGCTAGCCAGGAGTCTGTGTGGACACTGACGTGCCAGGAGTCTGTGTGGACACTGACGTGCCAGGAGTCTGTGTGGACACTGACGTGCCAGGAGTCTGTGTGTATCATGTGGGAGTTCGATACGTGGATTAGGGTAGAAATACTCACGTAGGCTGTTATAACGTATAATCGTAGATATGTGGAGAGAGCCCGTGCCGTTACCTATCTCCTTGCTCACACTCGTAATACTGCCTAGGCGGCTGGCCAGTACCCCGTAGTGGGTGTTTTGAAATAGTGTCAGCTCAGCACAATATGAAGTCCGTGACTCAAGACGGTTGGTCGTGATTCAACGGACGGTTACTGGTAACTGGTAATTTACTATAAATGTCGCACACACGCAAATGTCTTTAATGCAAGAAAATGTCTCAAGAAATTATCACTGAAGTCGAGAGTAGGAGACGGACGGTGAGTGGTGACGGGGGATGAGTGGTATGGTGTCCCGCGCGGTGATGGCTGACGTCACCTACATTCACTGTTGTCGTGAAGAAATGTGCGTTCTAGACGAACTCACATAACTGGCTTTATCTCGTTGGCACCAGCTACAATCTCTTGACCAATTATGTGAGCCAAAACAGTACTAGGACCCGGTACAAGGGTGCAAACAACCACAGGTAGATGAGTGGATGGCTGGTGGGAGAGAGTGGGGGGTGTGACTCTCGCTGGGGTACTGCCGCGCACCCCGGGTAGTGGGAGAGAGTGGTGGGGGGGGGGCGCTGGGGGTCTGCCGCGCACCCCACTCACCCACGAAGGTGGCTTGAAAAAAAACCCACACTATGCCACAGGAATGGTGAAAACCACTCTTAGCATCCAACAGGGAGCACAAAGCGATATAAACAATACCTCAGAGGAGCTTGGCTTTACTTCTTATTGCGTGGCTTACTTCTCTCTCTCAGCTGGGTTAGAAGCTGGGTTGGCTGTCTGGCTTACCCCACAGAATGGATGACTGGAAGACGTGTAACGATGCACAAAGCATGGAGGAGCAGTTGGATGACAGGAGACAGGCTGGATGATAGGCTGGCTGGCATTCACTTCCACAGTCTGGCTTACTGACTGGCTTAATTGCAAAATCCGGGTCAACCCCTCGGAGATTGAAGCAATTAGCACACGAACTAAGCCAGGAAGCTTGAAACGGCTGCAACAGGCTTGCAGGCTGAAGCTGTGAGGGTATAAGCTGCTGGCTCGAGGTGGTGCGGACGGGTAGTGGCTGGTGGGTGTGAGGGGAGGGCATTCACCGTTGACCCTGCCGGCTACTCACAACAGTCTTCAAACGCCTTGAATTACCCTTAAAAACGTAAATCCACGCTCCACACCGCTGTACACCATTTATCATGTGGGAGTTCGATACGTGGATTAGGGTAGAAATACTCACGTAGGCTGTTATAACGTATAATCGTAGATATGTGGAGAGAGCCCGTGCCGTTACCTATCTCCTTGCTCACACTCGTAATACTGCCTAGGCGGCTGGCCAGTACCCCGTAGTGGGTGTTTTGAAATAGTGTCAGCTCAGCACAATATGAAGTCCGTGACTCAAGACGGTTGGTCGTGATTCAACGGACGGTTACTGGTAACTGGTTACTACTACTGAGATGTGGACACTGACGTGCCAGGAGTCTGTGTGGACACTGACGTGCCAGGAGTCTGTGTGGACACCGACGTGCCAGGAGTCTGTGTGGACACCGACGTGCCAGGAGTTGTGTGGACACTGACGTGCCAGAGTCTGTGTGGACACTGACGTGCCAGGAGTCTGTGTGGACACTGACGGTGCCAGGAGTCTGTGTGGACACTGACGTGCCAGGAGTCTGTGTGGACACTGACGTGCCAGGAGTCTGTGTGGACACTGACGTGCCAGGAGTCTGTGTGAACACTGACGTGCCAGGAGTCTGTGTGGACACCGACGTGCCAGGAGTCTGTGTGGACACTTACGTGCCAGGAGTCTGTGTGGACACTGACGTGCCAGGAGTCTGTGTGGACACTGATGTGCCAGGAGTCTGTGTGGACACTGACTGTGCCAGGAGTCTGTGTGGACACTGACGTGCCAGGAGTCTGTGTGGACGCTGACGTGCCAGGAGTCTGTGTGGACACTGACGTGCCAGGAGTCTGTGTGGACACTGACGTGCCAGGAGTCTGTGTGGACACTGACGTGCCATGAGTCTGTGTGGACACTGACGTGCCAGGAGTCTGTGTGGACGCTGACGTGCCAGGAGTCTGTGTGGACACTGACGTGCCAGGAGTCTGTGTGGACACTGACGTGCCAGGAGTCTGTGTGGACACCTGAGTGCCAGGAGTCTGTGTGGACCTGACGTGCCAGGAGTCTGTGTGGACGCTGACGTGCCAGGAGTCTGTGTGGACACTGACGTGCCAGGAGTCTGTGTGGACGCTGACGTGCCAGGAGTCTGTGTGGACGCTGACGTGCCAGGAGTCTGTGTGGACGCTGACGTGCCAGGAGTCTGTGTGGACACTGACGTGCCAGGAGTCTGTGTGGACGCTGACGTGCCAGGAGTCTGTGTGGACACTGACGTGCCAGGAGTCTGTGTGGACACCGACGTGCCAGGAGTCTGTGTGGACACTGACGTGCCAGGAGTCTGTGTGGACACTGACGTGCCAGGAGTCTGTGTGGACGCTGACGTGCCAGGAGTCTGTGTGGACGCTGACGTGCCAGGAGTCTGTGTGGACGCTGACGTGCCAGGAGTCTGTGTGGACACTGACGTGCCAGGAGTCTGTGTGGACGCTGACGTGCCAGGAGTCTGTGTGGACGCTGACGTGCCAGGAGTCTGTGTGGACGCTGACGTGCCAGGAGTCTGTGTGGACACTGACGTGCCAGGAGTCTGTGTGGACGCTGACGTGCCAGGAGTCTGTGTGGACACTGACGTGCCAGGAGTCTGTGTGGACACGACGTGCCAGAGTCTGTGTGGACACTGACGTGCCAGGAGTCTGTGTGGACACTGACGTGCCAGGAGTCTGTGTGGACGCTGACGTGCCAGGAGTCTGTGTGGACGCTGACTTGCCAGGAGTCTGTGTGGACGCTGACGTGCCAGGAGTCTGTGTGGACACTGACGTGCCAGGAGTCTGTGTGGACGCTGACGTGCCAGGAGTCTGTGTGGACACTGACGTGCCAGGAGTCTGTGTGGAACGCTGACGTGCCAGGAGTCTGTGTGGACACCGTGAGTGCCAGGAGTCTGTGTGGACACCGATGTGCCAGGAGTCTGTGTGGACACCGACGTGCCAGGAGTCTGTGTGGACACTGACGTGCCAGGAGTCTGTGTGGACACTGACGTGCCAGGAGTCTGTGTGGACACCGACGTGCCAGGAGTCTGTGTGGACACTGACGTGCCAGGAGTCTGTGTGGACACTGACGTGCCAGGAGTCTGTGTGGACACTGACGTGCCAGGAGTCTGTGTGGACACTGACGTGCCAGGAGTCTGTGTGGACACTGACGTGCCAGGAGTCTGTGTGGACACTGACGTGCCAGGAGTCTGTGTGGACACCGACGTGCCAGGAGTCGTGTGGACACTGACGTGCCAGGAGTCTGTGTGGACACTGACGTGCCAGGAGTCTGTGTGGACACTGACGTGCCAGGAGTCTGTGTGGACACTGACGTGCCAGGAGTCTGTGTGGACACCGACGTGCCAGGAGTCTGTGTGGACACTGACGTGCCAGGAGTCTGTGTGGACACTGACGTGCCAGGAGTCTGTGTGGACACTGACGTGCCAGGAGTCTGTGTGGACACTGACGTGCCAGGAGTCTGTGTGGACACTGACGTGCCAGGAGTCTGTGTGGACACTGACGTGCCAGGAGTCTGTGTGGACACTGACGTGCCAGGAGTCTGTGTGGACACTGACGTGCCAGGAGTCATGTGTGGACACTGACGTGCCAGGAGTCTGTGTGGACACGACGTGCAAGGAGTCGTGTGGACACCGACGTGCCAGGAGTCTGTGTGGACACTGACGTGCCAGGAGTCTGTGTGGACACTGACGTGCAGGAGTCTGTGTGGACACTGACGTGCCAGGAGTCTGTGTGGACACTGACGTGCCAGGAGTCTGTGTGGACACTGACGTGCCAGGAGTCTGTGTGGACACTGACGTGCCAGGAGTCT